ACCTCTGGAATACAAGCTATGCATGAAAAAACATTTACACAATGACCTTTGCACTGCACTACAAATCTTAGCTATTTAATATGAAGCTTAAGGAGACACTATATTTACCATAACCACTACAGTTTAATCTAGTGGCACTGGTGTCTATAGCATGTCCCTGCAGGGTTGTTAATGTAGAAAAAAAGGTAGTGTTTACATTGCTGGCTAGTAACCCATCTAGGGGCAGTTACTCAGATGGCTACTAGAGGTGCTTCCTGTGTCAATGCTGCACAGTGTGCAGCATAGGTGTTCAAGGTCTCCATGCTCTGCATGGAGGCACTGTACATTCCCCATAGAGTTGCATTGATTCAATACATCTCTATGATGAGAGGCTAATAGGCACAGCGCTTTCCAATGAGATCATCAAGTTTGCGATGCAAGGAGGGTTGTGGACCTAAATAGTTAGTTTAACAATATAGTATCAAAAATACATGTTTGTATTCATGACACCATAGTGTTCCTTTATAAGTTAACACTGAAAGTGTTCAGTAGTAAATACAGGAAGTCAATGAAAAATGCAAATTGCACAAGGATTTGATCAGAGTTCAGAGAATATGTTATGAAAACAGTGTCTTACAGAATAGTGATAACCATTAAAGTCACCTTTTCAGTGATACAAAACTGGTAGTCTTACCTTTGCTTTCCTGTATGAATAAAATTGTCTGCTGTGCAGATGTAAGCTGAGATCTTTAAATGTATAGCACAGTAGTTTCAGCTTTCACATTTCCTGGCACACGCCCTAAACGTGGGAAATGAAACAAAAGATTTACTGTGCTTAAAGTGGAAGCATACATAATGTCAGCTTGCAGAGGCAAAACAGAAATATGCAACCTGGCTTCAAACTTGTTGTAAAAATTAAATTGTCTATTTTATTAATGTCTTTAGCAAACAGATGTAAAATATTAGCTATGCAGATTAGTACTTACGTTGTGCTAAATCCTAATGCTCTACTGCGCAAATAAAATGTCAGACAAAATATTATCAGTTTTACAGTTCAAGTTCTCCAGTTACAAGCCTGCACTGAATTAACCGAACACAGAATGTTTTAGATGATTCTTGGCATCATGACTACAACAGTGTGCCATAGTGGTTATGCAGCCTAGACTGACTTAGAGTGCCCTTTTAAAAGAACACTCTGGAGACCATAACAACTTCACTTCCGCTCAATTGAGTTGTTATGGTGTCTGAAAGTCCTGTGCACTGCCTTAACTTAAGGAGTTAAAGGGAAGCTATAGTGCCAGGATACTATAGTGCTGGCAGATAAGAACCATTTGGTCCATCTAGTCCACCCAATTTTCTAAATACTTTCATTAGTCACTGGCATTATCTTATAGTTAGGATAGCCTTATGCCTATCCTATGCATGCTTAAACTCCTTTACTGTGTTAACCTCTACCACTTCAGCTGGAAGGCTATTCCATGCATCCACTACCCTCTCAGTAAAGTAATACTTCCTGATATAGTTTTTAAACCTTTGCCTCTCTAATTTAAGACTATGTCCTCTTGTTGTGGTAGTTTTTCTTTTTTTTAAATATAGTCTCCTCCCTTTATGTATTTAAAGGACCACTATAGGCACCCAGACCACTTCAGCTTAATGAGGTGGTCTGGGTGCCGGGTTCATCTAGGGTTAACCCTTTTTTCTATAAACATAGCAGTTTCAGAGAAACTGCTATGTTTATGTTAGGGTTAATCCAGCCTCTAGTGGCTGTCTCATTGACAGCCGCTAGAGGGCTTCCGCATTTCTCACTGTGAAAATCACAGTGAAAATCACAGTGAGAAGCGTCCATAGGAAAGCATTATGAATGCTTTCCTATGGACTGGCTGAATGCACGCAAGGCTCCTGTGGCGCATGCGCATTCAGCCGAAGAGGAGGAGAAAAGGGAGGAGAGGAGGAGAGCTCCCCGCCCGGCGCTGGAAAAAGAGGTAAGTTTAACCCCTTCCTCTCCATCCAGCCCGGCGGGAGGGGACCCAGAGGGTGGGGGCACCCTCATGGCACTATAGTGCCAGGAAAATGAGTATGTTTTCCTGGCACTATAGTGGTCCTTTAAATGTTTCTATCATATCCCAATGAGAGCAGAAAAAACTCTTCAGTCACTTACCTGAGTCCAGCGCTGGGTGACACCTAAATGTCCAATCCTTGCATTTGTTCCCCTATAGGAAAGCTTATACAATGCTTTATTATGGTTAACCTCTACCACTTCAGCTGGAAGGCTATTCCATGCATCCACTACCCTCTCAGTAAAGTAATACTTCCTGATATAGTTTTTAAACCTTTGCCTCTCTAATTTAAGACTATGTCCTCTTGTTGTGGTAGTTTTTCTTTTTTTTAAATATAGTCTCCTCCCTTTATGTATTTAAAGGACCACTATAGGCACCCAGACCACTTCAGCTTAATGAGGTGGTCTGGGTGCCGGGTTCATCTAGGGTTAACCCTTTTTTCTATAAACATAGCAATTTCAGAGAAACTGCTATGTTTATGTTAGGGTTAATCCAGCCTCTAGTGGCTGTCTCATTGACAGCCGCTAGAGGGCCTCCGCATTTCTCACTGTGAAAATCACAGTGAAAATCACAGTGAGAAGCGTCCATAGGAAAGCATTATGAATGCTTTCCTATGGACTGGCTGAATGTGCGCAAGGCTCCTGTGGCGCATGCGCATTCAGCCGAAGAGGAGGAGGAGAGGAGGAGAGCTCCCCGCCCGGCGCTGGAAAAAGAGGTAAGTTTAACCCCTTCCTCTCCATCCAGCCCGGCGGGAGGGGACCCAGAGGGTGGGGGCACCCTCATGGCACTATAGTGCCAGGAAAATGAGTATGTTTTCCTGGCACTATAGTGGTCCTTTAAATGTTTCTATCATATCCCAATGAGAGCAGAAAAATGAGAGCAGAAAAAACTCTTCAGTCACTTACCTGAGTCCAGCGCTGGGTGACACCTAAATGTCCAATCCTTGCATTTGTTCCCCTATAGGAAAGCTTATACAATGCTTTATTATGGTTAACCTCTACCACTTCAGCTGGAAGGCTATTCCATGCATCCACTACCCTCTCAGTAAAGTAATACTTCCTGATATAGTTTTTAAACCTTTGCCTCTCTAATTTAAGACTATGTCCTCTTGTTGTGGTAGTTTTTCTTTTTTTTAAATATAGTCTCCTCCCTTTATGTATTTAAAGGACCACTATAGGCACCCAGACCACTTCAGCTTAATGAGGTGGTCTGGGTGCCGGGTTCATCTAGGGTTAACCCTTTTTTCTATAAACATAGCAATTTCAGAGAAACTGCTATGTTTATGTTAGGGTTAATCCAGCCTCTAGTGGCTTTCTCATTGACAGCCGCTAGAGGGCCTCCGCATTTCTCACTGTGAAAATCACAGTGAAAATCACAGTGAGAAGCGTCCATAGGAAAGCATTATGAATGCTTTCCTATGGACTGGCTGAATGTGCGCAAGGCTCCTGTGTCGCATGCGCATTCAGCCGAAGAGGAGGAGGAGAGGAGGAGAGCTCCCCGCCCGGCGCTGGAAAAAGAGGTAAGTTTAACCCCTTCCTCTCCATCCAGCCCGGCGGGAGGGGACCCAGAGGGTGGGGGCACCCTCATGGCACTATAGTGCCAGGAAAATGAGTATGTTTTCCTGGCACTATAGTGGTCCTTTAAATGTTTCTATCATATCCCAATGATAGCAGAAAAATGAGAGCAGAAAAAACTCTTCAGTCACTTACCTGAGTCCAGCGCTGGGTGAGACCTAAATGTCCAATCCTTGCATTTGTTCCCCTATAGGAAAGCTTATACAATACTTTATTATGGGGTTTCGGGTGATCTATTACACAAGATTATCTTCTATTCAGGTTCAATCCAGCACAATTATAAAGAACGAATATGCAAAATCAGCCTTTGCTTTAAATACTAAAAACCTCCATCTTACATCAAGACTTCTACCATGTCTTAAGCTCCCTGATCTCCAGCTGCCTTTGTGCCACAGTGAATGTACCAATATCTCATAAATATCTGTTGACAGAAAACTATTCTATTGATATGGACAAAATGGTACATTACTCTTTGTTATAATAACATTACCTAACCAAAACTGCGTAGCTTTCTTGCATTCTGCGTCCCATCCATTTTAGGACTTCGAAGGAACAGCTGTTTCCAGCTCAACCAGTCCTGAGTCGACAAAAATCTTCACTTCAATTTACAAATTAGCTGGTATGGAAAAAATCAGGACTGGTCACATTCTTCCTCTTTACTCTACCACGCTCCAACACCTGCTACTAAGTGATATACCTGTTCTTTAACTTGCATAGCTGCTCATATATTGCTAGATTTCTCCAGTAAATGCTTGTCAGTGAGCAAAACTGGTCAATCTTAGTGTTGCAATTTGTCACTGTAAAGATTCAATATGAGCTACCTCCCTGCAACGGAGATAAAAGCCCTAGATTCAGTTCTCTAGTATTTCTACAACCCACTATTAACCCAAGAACAATAGTCGTGGAGGTTTAAATAAAAATGATGGTTATTACCTCAATGCCTGTGTTCTTCTAATACCTGGGTGATAAAATTCCACTTACATATATTTATAGAGAAAATACAGTGAGCAAGTCTTGTCTAATTAAGGGTGTAGTAGGATTTCACAGAAATGTTTAACTAACCCTTCCCTTATTTAGGTAAAGCAGCGAAAATAGAAACAGAAAGTAAAAAAAAAAAGTAATCTGAAATCCTTTTAATTTTTTAGCAGCTCACGTCACGTTAAATACAAATACAAACCTTTATTAAAAGTATCCACCTTGGGGGGCGGAGCTAGCAGCCGAGCCTGCAAGACGCATGAAACCCAAGCTCCGACATTACAGCAGCAAACTAGCCACGGATTCCGTAAAATACACCTCCAAAAGCTGGGAAAAGGCTGCAAGAGACTTAGTACAATATTGGGAAACACTCACGAAAACCCCGAGGGTCGTCCGCGGGACATACCCAGGACATCGGGCAACTCCTGTCCCAGGCCTGCAGGCCCAAAATGGCGGACGTCTTTCACACCATGGGGATGGAGTCACTCTCTGCCTCAGAGGATGAATACTTGAGTGATATGCCGACCCCGACACCCCAAAGGAAGCAACAAACAGCGCCACCAAGGCAGTCAGAACCGCCACTAGCCACCAAGGCTGACCTAACAGGCATGGTGACTGACCTTAAGGCATTCTTCACGGCTGAATTGGCAGGCCTCAAGACGGAGCTGAGCACACTTACAGGCCGCATGAGAGCCACGGAAGACGCAGTCCAGGACCTGAGAGTCTAACAAGATGCCACGACAAAGAAAACGCTCGAGCTCACAACCTCATGCTCCCAGCTAAACGCCCGAGTAGGGCAACTCGAAGATATGGCGCGACAGAGAAATGTCAAGGTGAGGGGGATACCAGACACTGTGACGGCAGATGAACTGCCATCCCTCATAAAGAGACTGCTACAAACCGCCCTACCACCCAAACAGGCCAAAGGACTGACCCTAGATAGCCTATTCCGCATACCAGGGCGCCCAAACAACGTCTCCGCAAGGGATGTCATAATGAGCTTCAAATCCCGCTCAGACAAAGACGGATTCCTCCGTGCGGTCAGGAGCCAGACCCCGTACATTTTCGAAGACATTACCTTACACTTCTACCAGGACCTGAGCCGCCAGACGCTGCAGTGGCGGGCAACACTGAAAGAAACCACAACTCAATTGAGGGCGGCGGACATTCCATATAAATGGGGCTACCCCAGCACGCTAATTGCCACACAAGACGGACAAAACCACAAGCTGACAGCGCCAGAAGAAGCACCGCGATTTTTACAAGCTCTAGGCATTCGTCCAGTGGCAGGCGCCAAGAGGAGTACGACACACCGATGGGATGTCGCCAATATAACTCCGTTCACCCCATCGGAGTCGACAGCCCCAGCGGGAAGCAGTGCTATGCACCCATCCGGCTCTTAATATGGGAAAAGTCTCCCGTCAAACGGAACTCATGGATGTACCGGCTAGTTCTAGTTCTATTTTGATTGGACTTACTATGTTTATGCTACACTGTCATGTGCAATGTCCTTCACCGGTTGCGTACAGCTTTTTGGCTAGGCATTTCTGCGCCTACTGCCGCGCCAGGAGTAGGCCACACGGTCAGTAGACTGCTCGCACCTAACACACGATCCGCACGACACCCAATCCATACAGGTCCTCCAACCTGACACAATCCACAGGACACAGGGGTGACGCATTAATGCGGCAGCTACAGATAGCACATATTTACACGACGAAACCACCCCCCCCCCCCTCCAGACTCCAGGGTTAAGGAGCCTTAATATATATACAGGACTTTTAATGCCTCTGGCCGTAAATCAGGGGACCCAGAACCAGGAACCCAGACCCAAGCTCACCTCAGCCTGACACTAACATATCCTGAGCCTGTAGAATAGGGAGCTGAATTTAGGAGCTGTGGCCTTTAAACGCATACTTATCCTGCTATGGTCTAACGCTCTTAGACCCTGAGGCAAATCCACTCACTTGTTCACTACCACACTGCTAACAAGTCACCACAGGGAGCTTTGCCCGTCTTTATCATCTGAGAACTGTGCAATCACTTGTTTGCTATCTTGTAAATGTATTACTTTCTTTTTAAAAACTGAGTGACACATATATTGCCATTGTTGAACCTGGCAATCCTGCTTGGGGTACTCTCAGGCGATTATAATATTATATTGGCTACTCACAACAACAAACAGCATAATCCTGTTTTATCATACTTAACCTATAACAAATGTATACTGTATATGTAACCTCATGGCTTGATTCTTGTTTAAAAACAAAACAAAAATGTGCAGTACTATCGTATGCCACAAAATGCCATTCCTCTTGAAATGCCTGTTTTTATTGAGTGGTATGAGAAGACTGTCTGTTTAACTTGTGCACACAAAAATAAAGAATTAAAAAAAATAAAAAAAAAAGTATCCACCTTATCTCTTTATGTGGGATCAGCCTTACTTTAGTCTGTACAAATAGTTAAAAGCTACAGTGAGCAAGTGGTATGAGTTTTAAATGGTGTTCTATAAAGTCATACAGATACCTTTCTTTCATTCCTTCACTGCCAAGTGGCAAGCAAAACACTGTCCAAGATACCACTAATACAATGTTTGTATTATTATTACTTGTTATACAAAATTTTAAAACTTTAATAAAAATTATTTGAAAAAACAAACAAAAAAAACCCACTGTCCAAGAGGTACACATGGAGCCCATAGCAATATTACAGACTGGGCCAATTTAATGCTCTATGGGCTCTTGAGCACCAATGCTTTAGGGAAGTCATGGCGCACAGCGCTAGGGGGGATCAGAAGAATTAGTTTGTTTACTCAGGGCAGTTCTAGAGCGTTTTCCTAGTTCATCTCGTCCACTCGCTAGTTTAGGGGGCGTGAATGGGGATTAGCTTGGGTTGGAAGCACCTGTTGTGTGGCCCTTTGCAGGCACCCTGCTCTGTTCTCTAGTCCCCTTGAGTTTACATGTATTGTTAGAGGTCATAGAGAAAATTGCTGTGGGTGAGTAAGTTGACTGAAATTAGTGCCGGTGGATAAGGAAATGGTGGATAGACCAAAGGGATGAGAACTGGCGGATGGTGAAAAGGTAAGCACATACCTAGTGTGGCGAAAGTGACCTCGCAACTGGTTTTTGGAGGGGCCTGTTTGCCAGCCTCCTACCCTGTGACTATGGCCCTATGGTGAACTGGGGTTTAAAGATACTGTTTCTGCCTGTTGGACTTCTAACTGTAACAGATTCGAACTTTCGAAGTGGCACTTCGACTATAGTTGAATTGTCGAAGTGGTCGCCATTCGACATTCAAACACAGGGAACTTCCAGGTAAGCACACGAACAAGGGACACACATTGATGTTCATTCACCAGTATGTTCGGTAATTCGAATGGTACTTCGACGGTTTGAAATAGACCGGCCGCACAGCCTAATTCTCTGGAACTGTTTTGGGCATGAAACCATGCGTGCGGTCGGTTAAAAAGAGACTTCCAGGAATTTCCTAAACCCCTGCTCTGATATGGGTGATTTTTGGATATGTTGTTCACCCAGATCAGGGCTATCAGGGGTTGTGACTTATGGGGCTTGGACTTTGTAAAAATGTGTGTTGTTCTGCCTGGAGATAATTAAGCTAATGCATTATCTGCCTTAATTATCCCATAGGCAGAGGGGAGGGATTGTATGTGTGTTAGGGGAGTGTTGTAGAGTTAATTACTGTTCTTATTGGTTTATTCCCTTGGTGTCCCTGTGCCCAACAAGGTCCACCTGGGTGTCACCCTTGTTGGGAAATTTGCATAAAAGGCCAGTGTGCCTCCATTACATTTGAGTTCCTGCTTACCCTCAACATAGAGTCTCATCTCATGTGTGGGGAAAATGGCTGTATCTACCCTGGGAATTGCTATATCACTATACTCCCCTGGCATTATAATCACTAGCTCTTTTAATAGCTGTTCCTGCTACGCTTTCTGGAGTAGTAGAGGTTCACCCACTGGAAGCTGGATCCTGGTCTTGGGTCCAGGGTGGGTGGAGGACGGCGAGATCCCAGCCAAGCTGTAACACTGGATGTGGAGACTACAGTGCTTATGGTGTCTGGTGGAGTGCTTGGAGTCCTTGGTGAGCACTAGGAGCATCGACTGATGGAGGCACCCGGTTGGGGTGCCAGGTGGTCCGTCACACCTAGGATTTGGTAATTGGCTGCAGGGATTTGAGATCTTTGCCAGTATAGTTAGTAGTAGGTTACCTGAGCAAGCCCCTCCTTGTTTTTTTAACTTCACTTGATTTGGGGTACATACAAGGTATACTGGTGTCAATGCTAGTTTAGATATGACTAGCAATTCAGACAAAAAAATGGCTTCCTGCCCGGTTGGACTTTAGTGTCCAAGACAAGAACCTATGATTTTTATTAATGACAGCCTGACACCCATCACCCTTTCAGGGTGTAGCCAGTGCTCACTCTGGAGCACCGGCTAGAGCAAATAAAGGGGTCTGCTGGCTGTCTAACGATGACAATTTCAGGTTGTATCATTCGTATTGCTTCCAGCACAAATGCTCCCACTGCAGGGGTGCTCACCCTGCAGTGTGCTGCGTTAAAAAAGGAATGCAGCACTCCAAGAAAAATTACATTCCTCAATCAGAGGATACCAATGAACATGGTAGAAATATTGCCGTGGTTAGGTCAGTATCCCAAAGTTAGGGAAGCAGACAAGTTGCGAGACAGTTTTTCAGTTGGGTTTTGGATTCTGTTTGTTTAGCCTGATCTTCCCGTGTTCACACAGAATTTGAAATCGGTGATAGGAAAAGAGGAAATCCGTGTGGGAGAAGGTGGTGTTGGGCTGGATGGAAGGTCAATTTGATAGCCCTCTGTTTGTCAATTTGCAGCTGTTGCTTTTAGTACTCGTGGGCATGTTCTCCCCTTTTGTTGTTGGATGTGTTGTTTTCTAGTCAATGGGGGGTGGGTTCAGTTTGATCCTGAGTGTGTGGCTTTAAGTCACTTTGTTTCTGGTCCAGTCATTTTAATTACACATGCAGGAGGTAATGACCCTGGTAGGCAATGCACTATTATTTTACTAATCCAATAAAACACGGTGTTCCAGAGCAAAAACTTTTTTCCCATGCTGTGTAATTTGACTCATAACAACACTCTGATTCGTTAATTGAAAGTAATTCCAAAGAACTTTCCCACGCTGTGTAAAATGACACAGAGCACTCTGATTGGCTGGATTTCAAGCTAACCAATCAGAGTGCTGTGACAGGTACCTGTCAGTCTCTTCATTTACCTGTCAGAGCACTCTGATTGAATGGCTTAAACCAACCAACCAGAGAGCTCTGAGCCTAATTGCAGGGCAGGGGAATGCTTTATGAGCCTTCCCCCGCCCTGCAGAGCTCAGTCTGTGCGGAGCCCTCCATGGGTAAAGATGGATTCTTTTTTTTGCGCTCTGGGGTTTTTTTTTTTTTGTTTTTTTTTTGTGCAACGGTTATTATGGATTTTTATTTGGCCCTTTTTGGGGCTGAAAAAATAAGATTTTAGAAAAAAGAAGGTATCAAATGGAAAGTTTTATTTATTTATTTTTTACAGGTACCTAGTTATTGGTCCCCCCCTTATTTTAATTTAGGGACCCCACCCGCCGCTCAGTGGTGGGGGCTGGGGGGTAGAGGACAATAGGTCACCCCCCTTATTTTACTTTAGGGCCCCCACCCGCCGCTCATGGGTGAGGGCCGGGGGCGGGACCATAAGTTCCCCCTTCAGGTTAGAAGCCCCCACTCGCGCGGCACGGGCCACAGGCTGCTCACTGTTTACTAGACATGCCCCTACTCACGGTATAGCGAGAAGGGGCATAATTTACTTATACTATAAGCCTTTTAGTAGATAGCTCCCTAATACCGTGGGAATTAGGGAGTTTTTCTACTTATTCATTCCTGTCATTCCATTGACTGGCTAAGTAACTTACATTTTATATGAATATGTGTTACTTGATTGTTGTAAGTGTTGCAAATGCTTACAGCTGAATCCTGGCTATGTTTGCATACTTTTTATTTAAACTTGTATACAGTGTAACATTCTTCATTCTTCCACTGGGTAGGTATATTAGTACTTTGGCAATACTGTGCTTCGGAACTTTGGCACTTCAGCACTTCGGAACTTCGGCAACTTCAAAACTTCGGCACTTCGGAAATTCGGCAATTCAGCTATTCGGATGTTCGGAAGTATCTGGATGTCCAAATTGGCCGAAATTTGACCGAATTGACATTCAGAATGAAACAAATTGCACATGTCTACTTGTCTTGTTTTATGTTCACTGCCATCTTTCACTCTGTAACAAACCACTGGAGTTGTGTTCAGTCCTGGAACTCAGGTGCAGTAACAGCCCTCCTTTACAAGCACGATCCACAGAGATCCTGGGGTTGAGAACAGGATTCTGTTGGTTCAGTGATGGCACGGGGGGATTAATAAAATAACAGAAAAATCCAAGGGAAGGTATCCAAAGAAGGGTCGGGCAGAAATCAGAGTCAGACGGTCCAGAGGCAGGCAACAAAACAACCAAGCACTGACTGAAAGGTGTGCTCTGCTTATAAAAAAAGAGTGGCTCAATCACATTACCTGGTCTCACCTGTAGGAGGGGTTAACTGAGGTCAATGTGACTCAGCCACACCTCCTTCAACCTCTGTCCAGTCTCCTCATGCAGTAGT